GTTTAAAAATTAAGAGAGAAACAACAACAAAAAAAAGGCATATGCCACTTATGGACTTGAAAAAATCCCCCCCAAGAAAAAAAAAAAAAACATAGTAAAAAGACAAAAACCAAAGCGTATGCTCTGAAATCACAACCAAAGCCAAAAGAAAAGGGGGACAGGTTTTACCTCTACTCTACCTAGAAGGGATTTTTTTTGTTGTTTTTGTTTTTTTTTTAAGTCCTATGTCTTGTGATACTCCAATACTTTTTTTTTTTAAACTGCAAGTTTGTAAAAGTCTCTTTTTTTTTTTTTTTTTAAGTCAATGAAATTAAGAAAAAAAAACAAAAACCAAAAAAAAAGTCCTAATTCTCTCTGGGATACTCTTGCTCCTTTCCTTTGCCTCTCTGAAGGATAACTGGGATGCAATCTCTGCTGCAGTCTCTGGGGAGGAATGGCCTTTTTACTTGACACGACCTTGGCGTTCCTGCAGAAGAAACAACAGAGATCATGTCAGCTCAGAGCAGTTTTATTCCCCACTGTCACACCCCAGTGTCCCAACACTGAGATGGAGCCCGACCCATGGCAGCCAAGTCAGGGAAAGAGCATTTTTCTTGGCAGGTTTCCTCTTTTCCCCCTCAGCTCGAGCGATTTCCCACCTTGCAGAGCTGCCTCCAGCTCTGGGGTCCCAGCACAAGGGATCCAGCCATGGCCCTCCTCCAGCACTGCAGGAATGTTCTGTCCAAGCATTTCCACCAGGCCAAAGGGGCAGGGCAGCCCTAAACATACCCAGGTACCAAGGGCTGCTGTGCCAGCCCCTCCTGGGCTGTGTTTGGGTTTAACAGAGAAGCTCTCACAGCAGCAGGCCCAGGCTGCCCCAAAGGGTTAGGAGGTGCTGCCCAGCCCACACTCACTGTCATTTCCAGATCATAAGACAAAACCAAAACCTGTCAACAGCCAGAGGGCTCTGGGTTGATGCCCCTCCCTGAGCACAGGCAGGTCCCTGCAGTCTGGGCACAACGGGCACTGTGGTGCTTTGGCTCTGGCTCCCATGGAGCAAATCCATCCCCACCCCAGCCGCTCCCAGAGGTGCCAAGTCCATCCCACCTCCACAGCAAAGCAACACCTGCAGCAGGTGTCCACAGGCACAGCAGGTTCTCCCTCCCCACTCTGAGAGGAGACGCTGTCAGGGCTCCAAAACTGGCGTGATGGTTCAGCCCAGAACGTTTCCCTGTGTGTTGTCCAGGGCTGCACTCCCTAAAATCGGGGCAGCAGCAGAGCTCCCTGCCTGCTTCCTCTGTCACACACTAAACCTGTGGTGGGTTAGTGATGGGAGGCAGCTTCCCACCCTCCTGGCAGCTCACACCACCTCTGCCACAAACACAGGGAAGGAAGCCACGTCCACTGCTCAACCCAGGGCGAGCCCATCCCCAGGCAGCTTCAATCCTGGGATAACAGCACGTGTAGCCATCTACCCTCAGGAACCTTCCCAAAAAAGGGAAAACTGGCCTCCAGCTCAGAACAACACCCCAGGCTTTGGCAGCCCCCTCAGCCACATACCCGAGGAGGCTTCACCTCCAACTCCTCTGCACCAGCTGGATGCGAACGGGGTCGGGTGTGATCCCGTGCACAGACTGTCCTCTGGGGACAGGGATCACACCAAGGCACGTGTTCTCTTCAAGACCACTTACCCCACTTAAGTGGATTTAATTCCCCCCTTCTCCTGTAAACTCTGCCCAAATCTGCTGCAGTGGCCAAGGCTGCCAAATCCCAACCGCCAGGGCGGGGGAGCAAAGCCAGGCCTGAACACGGAGCACAACAAGCGCTGCAGGGAGAGCCACAGCTCCAAAGGAAGGTGCCAAGCCCTGTTCCTGGCTCTGCAGCCAGCACGTTATGTTACACATGGACAGATGGCAACGTGACTCATTCCTTCGGGAAGCGACTGCCCCGGCTGATGCCGCCGCTTCCCGAACACGGGCACGGGACGAGCCGGCTGCCAGGCTCAATCACCCCCCTGGCCACCTCCAGGGACAATTCCCTGGGCTGGCACAGTGGTACAGGGTCCTGCTGCACATGTTACCTGAGCAGCTGGACCCCTAGCAGTTGCCTCTCCCTGCTGGGAAGGTGAAGCGACCTCGAGGTCAGTGTGGAGAAAACAAGGAGACAATCCCAGGGAAAAGGTGACTCCCCCCCCCCTCAAAATCCCAGGGTGCCAGCACAGAAGGCACCACCTTCCAAAGAGAGTAGAGCAGATGTCCTCATGTCCCTAAGCTAGAGAGGGGACCAAATTGAACATCTTCAGCTCGATTTTCCTCAAGCCAAGTGTTGTTTCAAAGCTATTGATCCACATGGGAGGAGCAAGGAAAAGACACCAGCTCAGACCGATCCCCTCAGGGACAGGAGGGGCAGGCACAGAAATGGCAACTTCTGTCCCCTCACTGCTGCCCCCAGGGGTGCAGCAATGTCACAAACCAGGTCCTGAATCAGCTGATAAGAGATCACCTTATCTGTTATCACCTTGTCTGTTCACGCTGGGGGAAACAACAACAACAAAAGGCTCAACAGTTTGCACAAAACCACAGTGACAACGGGTGACAACACTGCCCACTTGTTCAGAGCCTCTTCCCTTGATTAACGAGCAACAGGAGCCTCAGCGCTCCCGGCAAAGGGAAGGATTTTATTGCCACACCACAGATGGGGAAACAGCAGAGTCTAATCCCAAGGAGGGCTTGGAGAAGCAGCCAGGGCAGGGCTCCCAGCCCTGCACACAAACCCTGGTGCGTTGGGACCTGCCTGAGCTGGAGCACAGCCCGCAGCCCTCGGGCAGGGAAGGCCAGGCAGCAGCATCAGTTCAACCCCAGAAGGTCCTCCTGATTTTCACTCCAAAGCTCGGCTCACCCACAGAGGAACAGCAGGAGATCCCCTCAGCAGAGCTGGTCTGTGCTACCAGACTCCTAATCACAGAATATCCAGAGCTGGACCCACAGGGATCATCTCCATCCAGCTCCTGGCCCTGCACAGACACCCCAACAATCCCCCCCTGTCCCTCAGAGCGTTGTCCAAACGCTCCTGGAGCTCTGGCAGCCTTGGGGCTGTGCCCACTGCCCTGTAACCAAATCCTGGCCTTGAGACACACACAGTTCTCCCTGATCACACATGTCAGGAGCCACAGCAGCCCCACTGCCCTCCCAGCAGGATCTGCTCAAGGCATGGACACAGCACAAATGATGAATGATGCATCATTTTGCTTATTAAGCTCCTCAAGCAGCCTCGAGTCCCAACATTTACAAACCAAACATGACAATTTCCTCTTGTCAGCATCAGAAAGCCGTCAGGGTTACAGAGAAAAGCTACACCCCAGCCTGTCTCCCCCCCAGGAAAGAGGATAAAAACCAGGCAGGAATCTGGTTATGGCCTGATAACTTCATCCTACCTCCTAATGGAGCTCAGCACCAAGGAGGACAGAATATGGACACAAAAGTGGTTCTGTGCCAGAGGAGGAAAGGCCTTTTGTTCCACAGATCAAAATCAAACCCAGATATCCACAGAACCCCAAGCAGGGCAGACTCACACCACTGAAAAAGCAGGAGACATGTGGCCCTGGACGCTTATTTCCATGTCAGAGCAACCAGCCTGGGGCAAGAAGGACATGAAGAGAGCCAGGACTTTCCCTCTCCAGTGGGTTTTCCTGCTGCTTCCCAGCATCTTTCCAGGCACCTCTTGACAACTGATGCAATCAATTGCAAAGGACAAACCTCCTCTTGCTTAAACACCACATTTAATTGCCTGAATAAAGCAGCCCAATTCCCATAAACATTTATAATGACCCTCCCACAGGGAGCCTCGTCCCTCAGGGCAAACCTCTCGTGCAGGATGGTGAAAAGCTGAGAACATCCATGAATATTCAGAGCAAAGAGGGAGGCAGAGCAGGCTGGGAGGATTCCCAGTGGTATTCCATGTGAGAGGACAACTGGGATCACACCAGGGACTGGAACTGGACTTGCTGGCTTTGGAGCACAAGCAAAATAACACAACACAAGTCCTTTCAAGTCATTAGGGAGGAAGAAAATTCTCCCAGTCTTCAACCAGGGAATCTTTATTCTTCCCCACCACTCCAAGGGAAATGTGTTTCATTACTTTGGTTGCCTTAAATCATCACCCAGGCAATAAGGATTAGCACTGGTGCCACGAGACTCTTTAGAAAAGGAAGGAACTTCGCTTTAATGTTCTATAATCCTCACTGCAGTAGAGTTAATAAAGCCTTTGCAGTGTCCCCTGTCACACTGTGCAGGTTTAATGCCAAGGACTGAAAGCCCATGGAGCTTCAGTGGAATCTGTGGCTCCAGATATTCAAAAAATATCTAGAAAGAAGAGTGAATAGTAAAGTGACCAAGTTTACTGATGATATTGAGCTATTCAGGGTAATAAAAATAGCAGCCAGTTGTGGAGGACTTGGTGAGAAAAAGCAGCTGAGCCTTGCAGTGAATTTGGTTTACCTGGCTGAGATAAATTTAAAGATGCATGTGGGAAAATCCCTGCCCTAACTCCAAACTGGCCATTGGAAGCACAATCTGTAACCCCAGGAAAATGGAAACCCTCAAGAAAAGCAACCATCACCCTGAACAGAACCCACCACTCTGCTGATACACAAACCCATAGGAGGCTCTGGAAAAGAACTGGAAAAGGGTCAAAGAACAACAGGGATGAGCGAGGGACAGAAGGGTTTCCATCTGCAGAGCCACTGTGCTCTCCAGCCTGGAAGAGATGACTGGAGAAGCAGAGCAGACAGGGAGGATACTGAAATAACTGATCAGCACCTCATCCAGCACAAGAAACCAGGGGGAAATCACAGGAGGCAGACCCAAAATAAAATAAAAGGACACATTTCCTCACACAACACAAAATTAAGTTGAAGAACTCGAGAGTCTGAGGATGCCCAAGGAGCATATTGGACAAGAAATCGTGACTAATAAAGGCACAACCTCTGGGTCACAGAAATTCCTGAGCCACAAGTTGTTAAAGGCAAGGAAAACTCCAGAGATGGATAAATAAGTCCTTGTACAGGTGTTTGCAGTCACATGAGATGCCAACATCAGACTGCACAGACCCAGTGAGGCTAAAGCACCACCTCCACCCCAAATAAAGCAGAAGAAACAGTTCATGTCACAAGAAACACACACCACAATATTCTGCATTATGAGAGGACAAGAGGAGATCTATTTGCCTGCTTCTGTCAACCATGAAGAGCTGAATTCACGAGCTCAGGCAAAAGAGCCAGCACTCCCTATAGTGTGTCCCCTCATTTTACAGCCACTTGAGAGGCAACACAAAGCCACATTCACTGGAACGTGGTTTTGTGTTTCAGCTTCTTTTCTTCCTCCCCTTTAAATCTATCAAGAGCACGGCACTGGAATTGGCTGAACCCCAAATCAGGACCTCAGGACTTCTTAAATTCTGCAAAGATGAGGATGGGGAGTTCTCTGAAGT